CAAACACAAACACACATACATTTGCAAAAACACACATACACACACACACACACACACACACTCACACACACACACACACACACACTCCGAGAGAGGACATACATACGTACATACATACATAATAATAATATATAATTTTTATATCGCTAGCTGCGTGATTCAACCGCCTAAGTGACAAAATTTTCGAAAACCACTTTTGATCCCTTTTAAGTAGTACAACCTTTGATCCGCATGTTAAAATCTTGAGTTTGAAACATTACTGCGAAGTATTTCAATCCTACAGTAAATCTATCGCCTATATTATACCATTCCCAAATTTCCACGTCATTCAAACGCCCAAGTACCAGTTTTGTGGCCCAGTGGCGAATGGGCGGTTGAATGACGCAGATTCAGTGGCTTGTAGAGGTGTTCCGCTGTCGCGTAGGCGGCGTGACCCAAACGACTGTGGCCTTTATCAACAGAGATTGGAGGGTAATATCAAAACAAAGTGCATCCTTTGTTAACTTTAACTCAGATAGAACCCTTTCGGTAGCTAGAAGAAGATTTTGTCCAAGCAGTTTGCGTAATCTATCACTAGGTTTGGTAGAGTAGTTGAGAAAGGGTAAGATGGCATCAAAGAATATGTTAATACTGACTCGACCAAGTCCGTAAATTGTGGCAAAAGCTACTGACGAATGAATTTTGTAAAAAGTATATGATTGATAGCAAAGGCGCGCTTATTTCACATTCGGTACAACTCTTGGAAGGAAAACAAGACAGATCCCAGTCAGAGATAACGTCGGAAGAAGGTGGTGGCGATGGATTGGACATACTCTCAGGAAGTCAGGTAGCTAGCTGCATAACAAAGAAAATTTTGGATTGGAACTCACAGGGTAAGAGATCAACGGGAAGACCTTCGTGGAACCTGGAGAAGAATCACATAAATCGATGTACAGAAAAGTGGGAAGACATAAAATAACATCAAGAGGCTAGCCCAGGATAGAGAAAGGTGGAAGGAGTTTGTTCGCGGCCTGTACCCTGTTGCAGGGTGAGAAAGGCAATGACAACTCTTGGAAAATATTTGTATTGCCACTTTTCGCATTTCTTGATTTGCTTTAAGTGTTCGACCCTTGCTGTGTCTGTCGTGTACCATTCTTGAATCATTTCTAGTTAGTCAGTGCCGGGTAGATGATTCTTAATTTGTCACTCGAAAAAAAAGCTATTTATAAACATATTCTGAAAATTTTCTTTTCAACAAACCTTCCTCCTCAACTCTTCAGTTCTACAATTCAATTTGAATCACTTATTCTAAACTATTTTGGGATGGCTGATTCCAAAAATGGCATCCGTTTTTGCATATGACGCCAAGTTTTTGCTCTGTTAAAAAGTGATATTTTTCAAGTTAATTAATGATATGACCAAATTTAGAATTTTTCAAACAGTGCAGTCTATAGTTTGATTTAATTCTTCGCTTTCTTGATCCGAGTAACATTTGCTCTTTAATTGAAATGTGTAGCCTTTATTAAATCTAAGATAAGTACATGTAAGTGATCAATAATAGATAAATTACAGCAATGTTTCTGTGCTACAAACGTAAGGGAAAAAAAGTGTGTGTGTGGGGGGGTGTTCGTGGTCTAGAGGTTAAGGTGTTCTCTTCTCATTCAATGGGTCCCGGTTTCGAAACCTGACAGCGACGGAATTTTTTTCTTCTCTAAGTTTTCTCCATTCCCCTCATTTCCTGCTGGCTAACCATATTCCATCGTCAGCTTTCGTCTCCATTTTCTTCCCCCTCACCCCTCCCATTTCCCACTGCTTTGGGGTCCTAACTCTTTCTGCAGCCTTTCTACTTCTACCCCTTGGTTCCTAATTAAAGGCCTACTATTGCCTTTCTTCAGCCTCACCCATAATCTTACGGTAGGTAAGATCTAACACTTAGCCTTCTCGGATAATTGCCAAAAATCTCGGAGGTCCCGTGTGCAAATTGCCCACGTTAAAGGTCCCTTGGTGGTCCTAAAATTGATAGGAATAGGCTTCGGCAGCCACCTGGGCAAAATTCAAAATTCCTACCAAACTGTATAATGTGTCTCGCGCACTCGTATGACCTTATGCAGTCGCGAGGGCCGATAAAAATTGTGGGGGATGGGTTTATAAAGACGTTAGATACTAAATAGATTCAATTATTAATTTTTCTTCGTGGATTTTCTTCTTTACAGTGATTTTCTAGAACGATATTTGAAGGAACCCAATAATGTCCTGTAAAATAATAAATATTGATACATAGTATTTGTATAGCGTATATCCCCACTCGAAAGCAAGCTCTATGCGCTTTACTTTATATTATTACCCATGCAGACCATAGAACACTCAGAAACAATGTCAGCTTCCCGGGAAGCATACAGTGCAAGCAGCTGGTTAAGCGCTCAACACTAACAAACTGACAAGATCTTTCACTGTCTATAGCTGAGTACCCATTTCCACCTGGGTGAAATGGGGAAAACTTGTGTAAAGTGCCTTTCCCAGGGACACAACGTCGGGCCCGCGGCTCGAACCCCCGAATCCGCAACCTCACGATTACGAGTCCGGTAGCCTAACGACTAGACTACCGACGCCACACAAATCTAACAATTCTTTCTACAGGTAAATAATCGTACGACAGGACAAGGTAGAATCAGGCTCTCATCTATTGTTGGATATATTTAGTTATTTGTATAATCTTACAGCTTGTTCATTTGTCTAGCTTTTGGGTTTTTTTTAAACCTATCCATTAACATATCTTGAATAGAAGTCGAGATATCTACGTCTGAAAGGGTGGAGGTCTTCTACAGGCAGATAATGACCTGATGTGAACCGGTTGTGGCTGGATCATAATGTTGTCCAAAGATCCGATTCGCGTGTTTTGAGAAAGACATTGAGTCGGACTTTGTCCCGTGAAAGAAATGATAAAATCACTACATGTAATATATTGCGGTCAAAAATTCGGGGCGCAACATATTTTCACGTATCGCCTCAACTATCCAGTACAGAGTATTGCACAATGACTTAAATTATATCAATTTGTCTTAATAGTTGCATATTCTTTTTATACACCATCATGCTGTATTTCCCCATTTAAAAAAGTCCAAATAAAGACTAATTAAAAATCCAAGTCGATGGTTTCTACAGATTTTAAAAGGTAAAAGT